AGTTGCAAGTAATTGAAAATAGGGGTTCTTAATGGAAAACCCTAACTGTGAGCATCACTAGTACTCCACCTTTAATAACTTTAATGACTTGTATGTCATAATGAAGAGTGGCATATGCTGAACAAACATCTCCATAACATCATTCATTAAGAGACAAATCTTTCAGTATCTAATATTATGTCTTAAAGTCAAGTAAACAGTACATTTTTGTGCACAGACTGAGTTATGGAATTACTTACTACTGTATGAACATCACTTTGTGGGTGTGTATGTGTGACACAAAGGAGCAGACAGATGATGAAGTTGACAGCATTGCTGACCAGTCTGACTAGAGCCTGAAGGTCATTTTGACCAGGGCATAAGGGAGTGCTGTATAAACACTAAACAAATGGGCACGATATCTAGAAATTTCTAACTGGGAAGGGGTAAGAGTTCCCTTCAGAAGGAAACAAGCAACGAGTCCGAGAAAGTACATAAACCGCTTTATCTGCCTTAGGGAAACAAAAATCCCCATGTGGAGCTAGCAGAGGGAGGAAAATAGAAACAAGTGGGAATATTTAGAGTGAGGTTTCTCTTTCAGTTCGCTTGTGCTCTATTTTTGCTCCTGGTATGTCACTTAAGAACCAGCAGTCACCAATAGACTGGAGCATGTAGGTACAGACAATTCACAAATGCTTCACTTGTTATAGAGCTACTCTTGGCACCCCAGGCTTGGCTGAGCGTTGCTGTCCTCAAGGACCCCACTTCTCTGTAGCTTTCTTTTCTAATTGTCTTGTTTTGAGTCTTTACCTTTATCTGTGGACACTGGAAAAATTGTGAGGTATCTGAAATAAGGCAAATCCTGCTCTGATTTTACTGTCCATTCCCTTTGAAATGCATGGTCAACTGAGATGTGGTGAACTTGTCTGTTCTGACCCAGGTATTTCTGGTGTTATTTAACAACAGTGAAAACATTCCTGGTGATTGTTACTAAGGTTTTTAATTGCCACTGTGGCGCTGAACATTTTTGTGAATCATTGTTGTACGTTTGATACTCTCGGTGTCATGTTTGACAGATCTATTGGTGTGTGCTGTGACATTTCACTGAAAGAAGGCAGACGCGAGTGAACTCGCTTATCTGGAAGAGGATTTGGTTTGCTGCTTGGCTTCTGTGGATGATCAATACTTAAAAGACATCCCAGGTCAACGTACAAACTCTCAGAGCTTGGAGCCTCCTATGATGGACTGTGGCAGAGCGATCTGTGGAGGTAGCTCTTCGGTGCTGGTCTGCGCCAAGGGGTTGGTGTTAGTCATGTCATCTGCCAAGCTTAGTGTCATAGAGCAGAAAGTAGCTCCTCAGCTCTGTGATGCAGTGACTCTAATGTGGGGCCAGTTCTCAGCTGGTGGTGTACCTCCAGGCAGAGAACGAAGTTCATGTGTTTGAAAGGCTTGTTCACAAACTCACTCAGGGAAGAACTAAGTCCTCAGAACCTCCCATCATTCTTTCGTGACCTTAGAAATTAATAAATAAAATAACCACATTTAACTAAAACCAGGCAGCAGAATGACACTGCCCTATTTCTCAAACTTTCTGAGAAAAAAAAAAATCATTAAGTTGGCATATTTACTTAGGATAGTTGGAAGAAGGAAACCCAAATTAAATTTAAACTCTGGTTAATTGCAAGTGCCCTGCAGCACCTCCTACCTAATGAGCAGAACAAGCTTCTGCTTTTCCAAGTGCTGCTGTAAACCACATTATTTCCTTAGGTAAAAACTTTGGTCAAGATCTCCATAATATGTGTATCCCAATGTAGAAGCTAAAACACTGATGAGTTTTTTGAGTCCTTATGATGGAAAGTAAAGCCACAGATTTAGATAGTTAACTGTGTGTGGATTTATAGCTTCAACTTTCAGAAAAATGGCCTTTGACAGCTTACACGGCAGCACTTGTGCACTTTAGGCTGAGGACTCAGTGGTCTTGTGGCAGGGAATGAAATTGAGTGATTTGAAGCCAGTATCGGTGAAGACCTTCAGCGGGATGCTGCTGGCCAAGTCAGGGACATTTGATGTGCTTCTGAGCCAGCATGTGAACGGACACAGGTTCTAACCCACTGTTTTATGGCAAATAAAGTTGGGGTGGTTGTATTTGTACCCAACTGCCCTCATAAGTCTCGTCAGCGCTAACTCTGGCCATCCAATTTTAATTTGCTGTCATGTGTCTGCCAGAGCATTGCAAGGGTGTGTGAGAGAGGATATTTTCCCTGATGACTGCTGTTGACATTTGCAGAATAGAAGTGAAGTCAGTCGCTTGTTTGTTCAAAGGTTTTAGTGCCCATAGTGGTTTTCAGCCAGCTGGGATCGCTCAGTGCCTGCAGCCCAGCAGGGACCTTCCCAGCTGCAGCATGGGAACAATTGATCAAGCTGGGTTGGTGTTTAGCTTTGTTTCTTAGACCAGGGGCATCAGTGAAACCAAAATGATTGATCTTGCTATACAATTTGGGGAAGCAAATGTGAAGGTATTCTGTTCTTCTTTTCCCTCCCCCCCCCCACCCCAAAAAGAAATAATTAAGGAAATACTCATATACACACATAGGCTTGGAGAGGCTGTGACATGGGAAAGGACTGATGGCTGTGTTTACAGAGGGCATCTTGCAACTCTGATTTTTCACTAATGGCAGCTACTGCAGATGCAAGGCAAAATTTTAGTCTTCGCTCCAAAATCTACAGGGGGTGTATATTTCAAGGCTACTGTTTGTTTGTTCTGCTATTGCACACTCAAGGTAAGGGTGTCAGAATGATACGTTTGCTGGTGGTCCTGAAAAGATCCTTGGATCTGGGCTTTGCATCTAATAGCAATGTAAATAACTTCTCTCCTAGAAGGGTGGTCATGGACTTGGATTTTCACAAGGCTGAGCAAAAACTGCATTTTATTTCCTCAGGCTGGTGTGTGCTTGGGCCTGAAAACATTACCACTGGGTGAAATTGGATTGTGGGGGCATCTGATGGAAAGAGGAGGGATTGGGGGACAAAGAGAGTAGGATTGGGCTGTGTTGTAAAGAACAGGAACAGACGTAGAACAAAGATGACACCGATAATAAACACGAGCTGAGACTGCAAAGAAACAAGGAGAGATTTGGGAAAACTGCAATGTAAAAGATGTAGTGGAAGTTACTATAGAAAAGAGGAGGTGAAGTGGAGCAAGGGAGAGAAGTGGGAGAAGGAGGAGGAAGCAATTGCTAAGTGCAGTTAATAGTAGCACCAAAGAGTTTTAATTGGAAACCTGTTATAATTAACCATAGTTCTGCTCCCATGCATTTCAGGAATGCATGTGGCAGGTAGTTTTCCTTTTGGCTGCTGCGTCACTGATGCAAAGTTTGCTGGGTTTCAAGCCAAGTGGCAGATCTGGATTTGTGTTTACCAGGCCCTGAGCAAACATGTTAACAATGTCGTTTGTCATGAGAGATGGCACTACAAACTGATTTCAGATTTTTCTGTAGCAGACGGGGAATGCACTCTGATTCTGCCCTGTCTAAAGCTGCTCATTTTAACTGTTCAAGCATGAGCTCTTGTCACCTGGCAGGAAGACATTGACCCTAGTTGGTGCTGGAGGGAGACCTTGACCTCATTGGTATGACCTGTGGGGGCTCCTTCTAAATCCCCTGGGGAACTTTCTAAGTAGGGAAGGGGTGAATCTGCAGCTTGTACATTCTTTATGTCTGGAAGGGTAAAAAACAGCCATGGAGGGTTCCTAAAATTCATTTGAACTTAGTTGTCCTTTACCTTTGTAGGATGCCAGTGCCACGTGCTGGAGAGCTGCTTTGTATGCCGGTGCTTCCTCAGAGACTCTTCTGAGCAAGTCCAGCAGTTTTTTGCATGCTGATAAGCAGGATTGCTGCGAGTGAAATGTTGTGGATGCATCTTTCAAATTCCTTGGGCACTTGACAAACAGAACAAGTTGAAACCAGTGGCTGCAATTTCAGTTAAAAATGACCACTTCCCACCCCACAGAACCCTCTGAATGTAGAAAACATGGGAATTCAGAGATCAGTGAGGGGGTGTGTTAAAGCCGAGCCCTGAGCAGTGGGAGCTGTGAAAGCTCAAGTAAAGGCAGGTGTACCAAGGCTCTGTGTTTCTGGTGGAGGCTACTGGCTCTGTATCATTAAATCACAGAAGGTTTTGGGTTGGAAGAGACCTTCACAGACCATCCAGTCCAACCCCCCTGCCATGCGCAGGGACACCTTCCACTGGACCAGGTTCCTCAAAGCCTCGTCCTCAAACCTGACCTTGAACACTTCCAGGGAAGGGACATCCACAACTCCTCTGAGCAACCTGTTCCAGTGTCTCACCACCCTCACTGTAAAACATTTATTCCTGTTGTCCAGTCTAACCCTGCCCTCTTGCAGTTTCAAAGCATTGCCCCTTGTCCTGTCACTACAGGACCTGGTAAAAAGTCTCTCTCTTTCTTACCAGTGCCCTTTATGTACTGAAATACCCCGGAGCCTTCTCTTCTCCAGGCTGAACACTCCTAACTCTGTCAGCCTTTCTCTGTAGAAAGCTTTGTTTTTATTATGTGGGTTTGTTTAGCTTGTGAGCACTAACTTGTAATGAATGGATTTTACCCATTGAAAGAGGCTTCCTTGACTATTTGCCATCAACTGATTTAGATCCCTTTGAAGGGAATGTGATGACAGACTCCCCTTGCTAGCTGTGTGCAAGAACTGCATTCACATCATTCAAGGACACTGAATAGTAGAGGAAGATCTGCGTGCATCCATCTTCTTCCTCCCGAATCATGGGTGAGATTAGTGGGCAAGTCTCTGAGGCCAGCCTGGTGGTTTGTGTGAGCTGTCACAGCAATTTCTTCTGCCTCTGTCCAGAACGTGTGGGTTGAGGATCAATACTTTGCAGACATCACTGTAGTTTAACTCTGTGTGCAGCTAGGTGTGCAACAGGTGTGTAAAAAAAAAAAAAAAAAAAAAAAAAAATCCAACAGTTGTCTGTCTCTTCATTTTTGCTTGTAGGTTTATTCTTCAGTCTAAAGGAGTGATTCATAATCAGCTCTTAGAAAAACAGAGAATAGCCGAAGAGAAAATTAAGGAATTAGAGGTAAGTTTTTGGCAGGTAATAGTGATGATGAAAGTGGAACATTGAAGGTCGACAAGATGCTATTTGCTACATCGCTTGTTTTTATCTGGTGCTTTTCATTCTAAAGGATTGTAACTAGGTTCGTAACATAGTGCCTTTAACAAGTGCCTGTTACAAGGTTTGTAACACAGTGCCCGTTACAAGTAACCTACAAGTTACTTGTCACTTGGTTTATTTGCTAGATTTACAATCCCAGTAGAGATTGCTTGTTCTCTGTGTGTCCTGATATGAAAACTAGGGGTGAGGGTTTTAAATGAGATTAATAGGAGCAAGGTTTAAAACCAGCAGAAGAGTGTGTGTGTGTGCGCGCGTGCGCGCTGTAGTGCTGTGGCTATTAAAAGTTTACACTGCCCCAGGACAATTGCACAAATTCGTGGAAGAGAAATCCATTGAGAATTACCAAATATGTAGAAATGGCATCCTGCTCAGGAAGTCCCTGAGCTAAAAATGTCTGGAGGCTGGGAAAGTATGAGGAGGAAGTACCATGTACGCCTGCCCTGTGCTTACTCTGCCCTAGGCATCTACTTGTGGCTGCTGTTGGAGACCTGATCTAGGGGGAGATGGGACTTTGTTTTGATGATGTGGTCAGAGCACTTCTGTGTTCTTATGTTTATCTGGTTGGAGTATTCAAGGCAGAAAAGAATATCTAGGAAATATAAAGCAGTGTCTGCGCAAGTTCCAATGTTCAAACAAGTTATCTAGTGAATCTGGACTATCTTCTAGTGGCTACATGTACAGCTTACAGTTCTTCGGAGAAGATGTTCAAAATGTACTTTTCCAAGGCCACTAGTGTATTTTTTTTTTCTTAACACCCCTAAGATGTAGTTAATACAAAACTGTGTTCTTTTTCTTTTGGGGAGTGACAGAGACAGCAAAGTCTGAGCTGTGTCAAGCTGCTTATCTCATCTGCTAGTGTTTTAGGGAGAGTGAGTGTGGAGACCAGTTAAGTAGGGACAAGCAGGGGTAGGAAGTCAGTGCTCAAACCTACTCAGACCTGTGCAGTTCTGCCTTTGTTTTTTCCTGCTTACGCTAAAGTAGAAGTAGAGTTTGTGTTTTTTAAAATTCCTTCTTAAAACTCGGCTTGCCTGGGGAGCTGTAGGACAAGCACATCGCCATATGTTGTGTTGCCTGGAATGTTTTCAGTGCCAGATACTAAGGGGTTTTGTGTGTTCGGCTGTGAGAACTTTCTCTGCACAGGGAAAACAAGTACTCCATAGATAGGCTATATGTTTAAAGTGGTGTTAATGCAGACAAGGCACAGTCATTTTTATGGTTATGTGATAAAAGTGGTTGTATCCTGGCTACACTGGAGCCATCCCAGATGCCAGTGGCTTTGCGCAAAGACAGTGCTGTGACTGGGGTTGGAGAACTTCGTAGCAGCACGTCTGGATTTGGAAGTGATTGGAGTGTGGTTGACAGTCTCTGTTTACAAACTGCCCATCGGCTCCCTTACTGCCAGGTCCATCGGACTGTGGTCAGCTTCTTGGCCGCTGTGCCCTTCAGCTGTGCATCTTAGTTTCTTCCTGTTCCTGGTGGGGACTGATCTTGCCTCCTGAACTTTCCGATTGCTGAGTGCAGCAGAATGGATGGAATTCCCCCCACATTATAACCTTTGCCGTTCTTACACAAAGCCTTGGAGCTGACTGGTTCGCAAATGTGTTTTTCTGCTTCGTAGCTCCCTGTTGCTTGAGTCTCTGGTTACGGCCACTGAATTGAAGGTCCCAGTAATAGTGACTGTCTCAAAGTGGTGGGAGTGGAAAGGTGCTTGCCACATGGGTTGGTTTTTCTTTTTAACCATGCATAGTAGGGCTGAGGTTGCCAAAACTTTCAACAGTGTCTTTTAAGTGAACATTCAGGTCCATCTTGTAACTACGCTGCTTCCAGCTGGCTGGCAGTTTTGTGAAAAGGATTTTCCTTAGGCTTGGGATTCCCCCTGGAAGAGGACAAGTTCTTAGACTGACAAGGGCTGGAAATTGAGATTTCAGGGGAAATACCTGAGTCCAAATCAGAGAGCACTTATCACAGGAGTAGGGGATTTTGCTGTCCTGAAAACAAATTGTGACAGAAGCAGGAAAGAATGTGAAACTTTGTGACCTTGTGCTTCCACTGCAGCATTGTAAACAAAGATCAAACCAAGATAGGTTAAAACTTCCCTCCGTTCCTTATTGAAACTGGAAGGATTTTAAAGCTTAGGTTTATATTTTACACTGTTAACTACCTTATTTACTCACATTTCTCACTTTGCATAGTTGAATCAAGCTGGTCAGAGTAATCCTCCAGTATCCGTATGGTGTGGCTCATCTGGTTACTTATGTAGCGTGAGCTTGAAACAATTTTGCCTTGCTATTACGACACTATTGCCAACATATTGTGAAATGTGTATTTTTAATACAAGCCTGAATTTGAGAAATGCTCTCACTGCTAGCTTGGTGCTATTTGCAGAGGAGCACAGCACAGAGGGCTGGATTCACTGCTGAGCTCTTCTGTAAATCCATCTGGCTGTGTAGCAAGGAGAGCTCCTGAGTGCTGACTGTGCATGAAAATGTGGGCTTTAACCTGCTTCAGAGAAGTGAACTGGTTTTCCTGAAATTCACAGCTGTCAGAGTGAACTTTGAAAACAGTGAGGGGTTTTACGTCTGATTTGAAAGCTTCTTTTCTCCCTCCTCTGATAGTCTCCACTGCAATGCATGATTGCAGTTATTCCCTTTCCCTCACTCCCCTCTCTTGGATTCCTCCCCTGCTGAAGCAATGCATTACCTTTTTCAAGGCAGCATCAGAAAACAGATGTGATACTGCTAGTTTTGTCCTTCCTGCTGCTCGTTGCATGGCAAAGCAGCAAGGAGAGCCAGACCTGTCTTTGTACAGGGCTGTGAAAATAAGACTTGGCTGGAATATGCATTGGATGTACTTAGTGAGAGGAGCTGTGTTCTGAAAACACCAAAGGAGTATGGATGTGTACGAGGGGGCAAATGCATAGCCTGTCAGTTATTCTGCAAAAAAGACAAGGTAGCTTTACCCTTCTTGCTACAGCTAAGGTATGAACATGAATGTATATATGTACGTGTGTAGCATTCTTAACTTCACAACTCGTATGTAATCCTTTGGAATCCAAAAAGACTACTCAGGCTTGCTGGAAAAATACACAAGCCTGCTTAAAGGCTGTGCCAGTGAGGCTTACAAAAACCTGCTTGAATCTTGCAGAGATTGATGACATAGGCTCGCTCGCATACTGGCATGGGAAGCGTCCTGCTTAGCAGTAGCGATTGGATTTTTCCAGTCCTGATACTATCAAATTCTTGTTGTGTTTCACAGTACGAGGGGTATGTGTTAAATCTATTTTGAAAGCATTCTAAAGGGATGAGCACAGACTCTTTTTAGCTCAGCAATGTTTGTGCAGTATTAGAAGAAAAACCAAGTAATGTTTTTCTTCCCTTGTTTTTAAGGAAACATGATATGTGAGGGGTGGAACAATGCTTTGTTTCAGGAAATGTTATCCGTTTCCATTGTAGGGCTAGATGGATTCTGTTTTTAAATGTGGCATTTTAAAAAGAACAAACTCTATGATGTTATAAAGACATGGAAAATTGATTCTTCGTTAGGGGTGGAGAAAGTGATTATCACTGTATGTTTTCTCTGGTAATATCTGATAGTCCCCTTCTCTCCTGCTATATTCAGCGTGTTTAGTTGTCAGGCGTTGTCAGACTAAATTGCTAAAAATAACAAATAAGGGGGAGGCTCTGCTGGGCAGCTCTGTCTACTGTGTGCCACTGAATTTAGCTCCTTCATGGAAAGGGCAAAAGCAACCTGCAGCTTTCTGGTTGAGTTGGATTTTGGTTTTATACTCTGACCACAACATTGTTGTGTGCTTGTTTCCCAGGCAGTTCTTTCACATGTGTTTGGGAGACTGAAAGTTTACTGCTGTGGAGATAACAGGGTTGGTTGGTTTTTTTTTTCTCTCTGCCTGGAGTAGAAAATACAATTGGGAAAGTTATACCGAAGTGCTTGATTTCTAATTCAGAAATTCTTCATGTGATCCCTAAAATGCCATGTTGAACTGCCCTATCCCACACAGAAGACTACTTTGCTCTCATTCGTGATGGAGAAATGAACACTGTGCTCTCAGATACTGCTGCGCTCCAGATTTAAAGGCTTAGATGGTGTTGCAGGGCTTTTTCCTGGTAAAGTTAAAAAGTGACTGCATTGCAATGCCTTATGGCGACCAGACATCAGAGGTAACAATGGACTTCTTCCCTGGTGCTGCCTGGATGTGAACTTGCTCATGCTGCAGCTTCCATTTCTCTAATCTCCTTTCCTTAGGAGCTTTAAAATGGCTTTGCTGCAGCCCTGAGGCGTAATGGTGGTGCCCCCTTCTCCATGAGTCGACCAGGGCGTCTCTGATGGTTGCCACAGCAGTATTTTCATACCCTGTGGGAACAAAGATTTAGGCAGGTAAGGTGTGGCTGGGGAGATGTGCTGGAGCCTGAAAGTTCGTGTTCTCTGAGCGAGTATGGCTCGGGTGGGCTTGCTCAGCATGGCCGCACACCTCTGATGTGCTCCTGCAGCAGCTCTCTAGACAGGCCTTTGGTTTTTACACTGAAACTGTCAGCATGGAGGCCAGTTCTGAGGGTGGCTTTAATGATGTGCAAACAAGTATCTTGAGATTTGTGGTGCACTTGGCAGACCACTAAGCAACCATCAGAAGGTAGCAATTGTTAGGCTGTTCCCAAGTTAGACCAATTTCTTCCTGGGATTTACAGCGTAGAAGCTCTCATCCCATGGTTGGCTCAGCATAGGCCAGTGCCCAGGAATGTGCGGTGGGCTTTTTAAATAGACAGGGGGAAAATAAGGAATGCTCCTGTTTGCTTTGGAGAGGAGAAGCCTCAAGAATAGACCTCTATGCTTTAGCCTGGAGCAGATTTCACTTTGGATGAGTGCGCTGTTCTCTCATTCCATTGCTGGCA